AGAGAGAGAGAGAGACAGAGAGAGAGAGAGAGAGGGAGATAAAGATAGAGAGAGAGAGAGATAATTAGGAAAAGATGAAATCGGCCGAGTGACCAAGGCTGTAGCTTGTGCTTAAGAAATGGCATTGACACTGTAATGCGCCCAAGTTTATTAATAACTCTTCCCCGTTATAAAACTCTCTCGTATTCATTATTCGGCTTAGTATTCGCGTGCCCCAATATCACTATTACATGACAGAAAAGTAATGAGACTTAAACAACCATATCAAATATTTAAATTTCACTTCAAAGATGTCATGTTTTGTTTTCCTGCGTCAGCATGAAAAAGAAACCCCACTCATATATTATAAGATTTGAATTCAAAGTAGCAAATTAATGATTTGAATCTCACTGAACTAAGAATATTTATGTTTTTGGCCGTATTAACCCTTTCCTGCTCCTTCTCCTTATTCTTCTTTTCTCTTTTCCTCCTCCTCCTCCTCCTCTTCTTCTTTTCCTCCTCCTCCTCCTTCTCCTTCGACAGTTGGTATAGGCATCTGGGGTATTGTTGAGGAAATGCACGTCAAAACCAGAAGGAACCAATCGCATGTCGCGTTTTTCTTACCTTTTATTCTTCCAGATTTCGTTCCTCTGTCATGCACGGTGAAGTTGCTTTTCTGCATTATTTGCACTGAGTTTTGTTTGTTTGTTTAGTTTTCTCTCTTCGATGATTGGTTGCAGTGATAGTCTCTGCAATAATTACGACACTTGCATTTTGGCGACAATAAATCTTGATCTTTCGTCGATTCAACTATAAAGTCATCGCTTTGCTGTGGTGTCAGCTAAATGATCGGGGCTCCAATATTTCCAAGTCATTTATTACTCCCATAAGCGCACTTCAAAAAAGAAGAAGATAATTTCGGAAGTCATACATCTCTAAAGGATCAAGAAAACCACTATGACTGAGTTCACCAGATTTCTTGTGACAAATCCAGTTAATATCTTAATATTGTTTTTGCACGCTCATATATCCATTCGTTCAGAGGAACTGATTGGATGTCAATGAATTTGATTGATTGGACCCTGTTCGTTAAAGAACATAATCCTGAAATCGTGACTTTAGCTTTCACATCGAAGTCTTCATCACTTAGCGTTTGACAGATATATACTTTCGCACATACTAGTGAAAGCAATTTCGTTTAATCTCTGTTCACCGCCAACACGAAGCAGAAAACGTCATCACGACAAGAAAGTCCAGCTTTACCTTCGCAAATACTAGTGAAAGCAATTTCGATTAAACTTTGCTCACAATCAACACGAAGCAGAAAACATCATTTCGCCAAGAAATGTCCATTTAGACTGTTTTGTTTTTGCTGATTCTCGAAATTCTCGAAAGGTAATAATTTCTGCCTTAATTCATACTTATCCTGGCCTTCCATTTAAGTTTAGCAACTTTTTAAACTTTAGATTGACATTAAGGTAAGTGGTACATATTTGAATTATATTGATTATTATTATAATTCAGGAATGATCGACAATATCACATTTCTCTGGACAAAGTCAAACATTAATGTGATGATATCAAGACTGCGTGTATCCATGTCATTTGGTCGATTAAGACATATCATGGTAAAAAACACTGGAATATTTTAGATGGTCATGATCAGGAATTGATATTCGTCTATTTAAATAAGGGAAGCCGGAGAACGGTATGATATGAGGTAGGGTAAGAGTATTAATTATCATGATTACGTGACCAATTGTGGCGTTATAATTTACGCGTTATAAAGCTGAATATATTCACATTTCTCGAATTTCTAACGTATTTAAGGACGAAGAAAGATAGGAAAGATGGAATAATGTGCCATGGTCTTTGTTTGCAGTTGACAAATATAAAATCCATGTCTTATTGCTTAAGATCCAATGATGAGAGTTTACAGGGCAGTACAAATTAGAGGAGCAAAAATTGCTACCCATTATTTGAAGACGTGGGTGATGGAGCAATGGGGAAGAGTATGTTTGCGTCGATTGTCAGGAGATGGGGGGGGGGGAGGGGGCGGGGGAACAACTTTTAAAAAAGGGGCACTTAATCACCGATGTCATTATTTACCGTTATGTACTGAAGAATAGCAGCAACAGAGTGTGATGGTATAGTGTTCTAATAGCTCTCGATGCTTTTGTTTATCACTATATACCCTCAAATTATGCGATAGACCGTGATAATGATAAATATTGATAATACCGCTATCGATGTTAAAGAAGAAGAGAAGCAACAGCTAAGATAGCAACGTTTCATATTCATACAAATTAGGCCTATATTATGTGCAAAATTGAAGTAGACTGAGATAGAAACTTCGAGGTACATTCTGCGCAAACAGAGTGGGTTGAAGATAAAAAAAAAAAAAAAAAAAAACAATTTGGTCTGGAGGCCTACTTATAAAACACCTCTAATGAAAAAAGAAAGAGGAGAAGAAAAAGTAGAAGATTAAAAAGAAGATAAAAAAGGAGAAGAATAGAAACAATAATTTTAGAATTAATAATTTGATCATATTTACCCAGGGTAGTTACATGTACATCGCTTGTATATCGCTCTACCTGCTGGCCGACCAGTTATATTCACACCAGAATTTTCGGGTATCCATTTAGTACACCTTTTTATTCTTATCAATATTGTTATTATTATTATTGTTATTATTATTATTATTATTATTATTATGATGATTATTGTGATTACTCTTTATAATTTGTTCGTATTATAGATTTCATACGATGGATCACTTAGTGTTCTTGCTGCTTCTCAGCGTACCATTGACGATTGATAGAAGAATGGTCAAAGCAGGTGTCACTAATTTCACAGGTAAGATCTAAATACAGTGGCGTATCTGACGCGGGACAGAGGAAGTACGTGCCCCGGCTGATCCTTCACAATATCAACCAATGCATTTGTCTAAACAACTTAATGAAACCTACATGAAATATTTTTCCGGGAAATTTTGATAAATTTTCGACTCATAAGTGGCCGAGTCCTTGATAATGACCCCCCAGGAAATTATTATTCTTTTAATCGCGAATATGAGAGGGTAAAATTTCGTGTAAAGGCTTATATATCTATTTCAAGTATGTTGTATCTTAACATTCTGGAATTCGGAATAGTAAATTCAAAATTTTAGTAAATGCTATGAGGACAAAAGTTATCTACGGATAAATGTGGGAGCTAGCTGGGGCAGTGAAACTCATTCCCATATTAGATTCAAGGTCTACAAGTCAGGATAAGGGTTACATTTACATGCATACTATAAAAAAAGAAAACAAAACAAGAAAAATTACAAAACAAAAAAATTTGAGTTTGTCGGAAAATCATCAAAAAATTTACCACTCCCCTTGCCCACAACCGATTCGGTATTTTAGGAGTGAGTGCTGGTAACTCCTTGATATTTCGTTACTGGATCTTTAAAGATTGAGCAAGATCGACCCCATATGAACCTATTTCACATGTTCTGCCAATGTACTAGCTGCCCCGGAAATTTACAGCAAAAGACGATCGATGCTTCCTCATGTCACCCGGCCATTTAATTAAAAAAAATTAAAGTAAAAAGCCCTATTTCGTTCAACCAATACATCCTCATATTTTAATAATAATAATAATACATAACATTTATTAGGCGCTTAATACAAGTGTTTCTAAGCGCACCATTGTCTGAATTAAAATTACCAACTAAAACTTGTAATAAACACAACAGATATAAATATGATCTTTATTCAATAAATCATGCATATATAATAATAAAAATAAAAATGACATCAGACATAAGGTCAAACATGAGATCAAACAAAGATCAAACAAACAAGGAATAAGATGGTGTGCACCTCCTTTGACCGACTCACAACTGCATACTAGCATTCATAAATTAAAAAGGTGCGTTTAAAGTTTGCAGAAAAGTATAGATCTATATTCCCTCCTCTGAAGAACGCTAATTTAATTATAAATCAGAAAGAACACACTCATGTCTATTATTATTATGTATATAATCTATGTTCTTAGTAAACAAATATTTAAAAGGAGATCATTAATTGAGATTAATAAATTGTATTTTATCAAACAGAATCAGTGACGTGTAATGACGGACATCAATCGAATATTCTTGACCAAACCTGTCCAGAGCCGCTTCGCAATTATCCTTTCTCTTGCGAAATTTCATGGAAGGCACGACCATGTAGATGTGACCCACAGTGCGCTCTATACGATGAGTGTTGCCCGAATGCTGAAGAGATGTCTGCCGCCGGAACATTGAACGCAAGATTGATATACCCACACCCTGCTGTTGTACCCGAGAAGATGGCTTGGGAAGATCATTATCTCCCATATATGTCATGTGTTACCATATCTGCAGGTACCAATTATGCAATACAGGAAAATATAACGATCTACAAGTCATACCATCTTATTTCAAAGTGCCCTGCCTATGTCCTAGATGATAGTTTAGTTCGTCACTTGTGTGAGAACCCGCCTACATCCCAGCAAATATTCCAAACTCCTGTTGCTGTTAAAAGCATTGGCCATTTCAAGAACATATACTGCGCATTTTGTCATGGAATTTCAATCATTAGCATTCAGCCATGGCAGTGGAATTGGCAATGTGATGTCACTCTAGACAAAGGTAGTGTAAGTAGTTCACTTATTGCAACACTAGAACCACGATCCCAACCAACAGTTCAAGAATTAGTTGCCTTCTTCTGTTCTCGTGTACTTGAACCCCCATCTGATATACCCAATGACATCTTACCTCGGCTTTGTTTCCTCGTCGATGTGACCTCATGTTCCATAGAGCATATGAAGTGTCCATCTTATCTTGCACCTGTAGAACGTAATGGGACCATTTACCAGAATATAAACTGTGCGTATTGTAACGAAATCGACGTGTGTGGAAACTATCCTGAATTGTGCAAATCAGTTGAGTTTAGAAACGAAATGATACAGAATGGTATTCCTTCACGTGCAGAATACTTTAACTTCATTGACAACGACCAAGAGTTGGTTGCTTTGTCATGCGCTCAAAATGAAGCCTTTGACCCACTAACTAGTGCATGTAAACTGTTCTATTGCTTCTCTGGATTTGAATATAACATCACAACAGAAGAATGCGAACGTGTACCGGTAGATGAGAAGGAAAGACTCTGCTTGTCGTTCTATTCTAGTCAGACAGAAATGAATATGACGTCATTGGACACTGAATATCTATCAGCAGCGGTGAACAATCTTATCATTGAATTATCGTTGGACGTACTGACATTCTCTGATGTTGTATCAATGCCTGAATTGTCCTGTATCCCTGCCAAGGCTCAGATAGATGACTGTGATGAAACTCCTTATCGTTCAATTTGTCAAGTGTGCTTCGATACCGAGATGAACTTTACTGCCCTGCCTCTATCTTCTGTGGAATTCGATCAGGGTACCTTGGATACATTAACCAATATAACGTCCTGTCTATACATGCCTTCATTCGGAAACCTTTCAATGGTAGAACTGTTGATTGATGTTCCTGCAGAATGGAGCTGTGAGTCCCATGAATCCTGGACATTTTCAGATTACAACAAAACCTCCGTGCAACCGTTCCGAGTTAACTTTACTAGAGAAAGGGAGGAATATATTCTGAGTGTTTTCAGCATAGATGACATTTGTGCAAACAATTACAGACTTGTATGTGATACATATGTCAGTTTAGAGGCTAGCAAGTTTGAGATTGTGACAAACCACTCAAAAGTATCGCTCCATATCAGTGGCATGGACACTGTCCTTTTACATGATCAGTTTCAGATAAATACAGATGGCTCTGCTGTTTATTGCCTAGAAGAAGCTGTATCTGAAGGTCGTAACTTACCTGCTGGTCTAGACATCATGAACATAGTAGGAACTGTCCTGTCAATTATGTCAGTACTAATCGTCATAACCACATACTTAATTTTTCCTGAGCTTCGTAATGTGGCTGGGAAATCAGTTCTAACTCTATCTATTACTCTCCTATTAACATTTCTATTGATTTTCGTGGGTGGAGTGAGTACCCAACATGATGGCCTATGTAAAGCAGTAGGAGCTATAACTCATTTCTTCTGGCTCTCCATTTTCTTCTGGATGAATGCCCTTGCCATAGATCTGAATCGGACCTTTGGCTCCCATGCTAAATTTCGTGTCGGCAACAAATCTCAAATTGTCTACATCTGGTACTGCTTGTATGCTTGGTGCATACCAGCATTGATCGTAGGTGCTTGTCTGTTTATCGACCTTTGTGACTGCACCAATCTGCACTTGAACTACGGCAATGATTGGCTATGCTGGTTGTCTAGCGGGAATGTGAATCTGTTTGCCTTTGGTGTACCTCTTGCAGCACTTCTGTTCCTGAACGCGATCCTGTTCACAGACACAGTGGTCGGGATTAGACTTACCAAAAAGGCCGCAGAGAAAGCATTAAAGGAGCGACCAGCCCTGGCCAAAGCAAAAGAAGAGTTGTCCCTTTATGTCAAGGTTAGTACGAAGCTCTGTTCCACGAGAATGCGCTAGGCATCATGAGTTCGGGGGGGGGGGGGGGTACTAAATAGAAATAATGAAAAAATACTAGATAAAAATACCTGGGCCAAGATTCAATTCAATACTTATGTTAGATAATATTTTACTAAGTTATTGGCTTAGAAAAAAACAACGCCAACTTTGATATTCCGTTGATGCTTTTGGCAAAGTATTTTACCGCAAATTTAAGACAGGTCCCGTACAGACTTAAACTAATTAATTAATGCGCCGCATTTATTGTTAATAATCTTTGATTGACCATCTGACGTCACATTTCATATCAGTCAGTATTTTGCCTTTAAGTCGACTTGCTTAATTTAAATGATAAGATGTGATCTTGATACGAGTTTAGACATATGACTTAGTAAAATTCCAAATAAAATACTAATGCCTAGATCATTTTGCCGCGGCGGCCGTGCGTTCTAAAATATCTACGGCCAATAGCAATTAGATGGGCGCCGCAGCATTCCCACGGTCACATACCGTATCGGTCACATATGTTAGGGAAGCCGCACGGCGAATTTTGAAATCGTGGAAACAGGAAACCTGCGGCTGCCGTACGGCCTTTGAAGTGATGGCGTACGGTCGCCTTAGGGCGTCCCTTAGGCGGCCGTAGGTTTATGACAAATACCAAGGTGACCGAAGTGCCGCCTTAAGGCTGCCCTAGGGCGCCCATGGAACTCCTGCGGCCGCCACAATTTTTGGGGGTTTTGCAAAAGTCATTTGTAATTCATAAGACCGTATGACAGCTGCATTGCAAACGCAAGGCCACCGTACGCCCAACGTATGGTCGCCGTGGAACCACCCTACGGCATGGCTACGGCGTGTCTAATTGTTACGGCGAACCTAGAAATGAAAAAAGTTCCAATTCCACGTTATAATGCCACGGCGACCCGAACAGCCTGTCAGGATAGGGATACGCCCTAGGGTGACCCTGAGGCCACCGCAGATGCTCTGTGGCCGCCGCAAATTTCTCTCGATTTTGGGGACGTACGGCCGCTGTAGCCTAGCCGTAGAGCAAATGTGACCTAGGCATAACTTAATCCGCGTACTGAATCAAATACGGTCCCAGTATATCATGTAAAATGTGTAGCTAGTATTGCGTTTAAACACCAATATATAATACAAACTTGAATCATCTTTCATTTTCACTTGCCAAATTTTGCTTAAAGACTAGTCGAGACACTGTCGATATATTGATCTTTTGTTTATGTGTGTTATTTTTTTAGAAACCCCCCTTCAAATTAAAAAAAAAAAAAAAAAAAAAATTGCTAAAGGGTGACCAAATATACTGACCACCCCCCTCCCCCTACTAAACGAAATATCGGTAGGCATAATTTTCCAATTCCCGGGACAAAACAAAAAACCAAAAAATGTGCTCTAACCCTCCCCCCCCCCCCCCCCGCTTATTCACTGGCTGGCTGAGTCGTTGCGAAATTTTCGGGCGCGTTTTTCAAATTTTAAAACCCTCTCCTCGAAAAATTCCTGCGTACGCCACTAGATATACCGCTCAAGGGCAGCCAATTTTAAATAAATATTTACTTATCCAAACCTGTTTTCCCACTATCTTGTTGGAAATAACTGGTTAATATCTGTAATTAAATCAAATTATCTGATCTTATTTGTCACCGCCAAAATATTTACACATCTTTTTTTCTCTCCAGTATTCAACGAAATAAAAAAGAGTTATAATACAGTGTCAGCGAAAAAATGACTTAAGATAGAGAAGATGAAGAAAGAAATAAAAAATACCCCAAAAAGAAATAAATTATGATTTTTATGATGAGAATAAAAACTTAATGATGATGATAATAAAACACTTACTAAGAAATGATAGTAATAGTACAGGTAGTAGTAGCAGCAGCATTAGTCAGGCGCGCCGGAAGCAGTTTGGGATTGGGGGGGGGGGGGCAAACATTCCAGGGGGCTCACCTTCCAGGGGCAGTGCCGTAACGAGCAAAAACGTTTGGAAGGGGGGGGGGGAAGAAAAATCTGCATCACCACCACTCTTACACGTTACATGCAGACACCTCGGAACGTTTTTCAAAGTGGATTATTTACGATCAGGTAGAGCGTAAATTGGCGTGGGGCTCAGGGATTTTAGGCATTAAAATTATGGTCAGATAAGCATATTTAGATACCTAATTTGTGACACTGGCAGGCCACTAATTGGCGGAGAGTCCAGGGAGCAGAGCCCCCGGAAGCCCTTTTTTAAAAAAGTTATTTAATAACGGTCAGATGAGCATACAGTGGACCGCCTTAGGGCCCTTGGTGGGGTCCAGGGGGCAAAGCCCCCGGAAGCTCAGGGGTTTTAGGTATTTAATAACGGTCAGATGAGCATACAGGGAACCGCCTTAGGGCTTAGGGCCCTTGGTGGGGTCCGGGGGCGGAGCTCCCGAAAGCTCTGGGGTTTTAGGCATTTAATTACGGTCAGATGAGCATATTTTAATAGCTCACTTGTGACATTGGCAGGTCACTTATTTTTTCTCTCTCTCTTTCTTTCTTTTTCTCTGTAACAAAATTTTTAAAAAAGTGAGGGGGGCTCGAGCCTCCGAGCACGGCCGTTCTGCAGACCCTGACATAAAGGCTTCTAAATACACATATTTTTCGCCCGACTGTAAATTTGGGAATTTCTAATTTTCCAACAAACGCATAAAACGGTATGACTTACAAAAAAATGGAGAAAAAATACCGGAAAATCATGTCATTTCAGCAACATTTGTAAATCACTGGTATCGAATAAAAAATGCCCCCCATCGTCTCAATCTATAACAAAAAGCAAACACGCTTTCCCTTTCTCTCACAATGGCCCGAATTCACAAAGCAAGGTTTGAACTCAAACCTCCTTTTGTTTCGCCAAACCTCCTTTTGTTCTTCACAAACCAGGTTTGTAAAAAAACGCGTAAAACGCGTCATATGACGTACGAAAACCAAGGTTTGTCGACAAACCTCCTTTGTGAATTCGGGCCTATATGTCCACGATATGCGCGTATCGCTATCATAGAAACCTCCATTGATAAATATAAGTAGCATGCGCAATGTTTTGGAAATTTAATTCCTGTTAACTTTCCTTTTCTTTGAATGGAATTTTATACGCCATTTAATTCAGGTTTTATTATTGTTAAGTTCTTTTGGGTTAAAAATACAAACCATCTTTACTTCTTAACTGCTTTTTTTTTTTGAGGGGGGGGGGGCGTTCTTGCCCCTCAGTTCCGGCGCCTATGGCAATAGTATTAGTAGTAGTAGTAGTAGTAATGTAAAAATGATGACAATAATAATAAATTTTTTTTAATTAAAACCAACAGGGATATTTTTTTAAAATACCGCTTATACTGTAAGTATGCCCATTACTGTTTACAGAACATTAACTTAATGAAGATTTTGATCCAATTATTTATCATTCTTTTAAGGCTACAGTGGACAATAACACATTTTTGAAAATGATTTGTTTTCCTTATAGTTGTCTGGTGTCATGGGTTTTACATGGATTTTGGCTTTTGTCTGTGAATATGCCAACATCCCAGAGCTTTGGTATGTCTTCATTGCTATCAATTCCTTGCAAGGAGTCTTCATTCTTCTTGCGTTTGTCTTCAACAAGCGTATTATCGCCCTGTGGAAGCAGAAACTGGGAGTCAGGCGTGATGATGTCACCTCCAGCACTGCTGATACAAAGAGCACCAGTACCGGCAATACCATGATTGAGAAGTAAAACATGGATCCTGCAGCACGTCAAATAAAATGTTATGACTGTTTTAAAGATGTAAATCTACTCTACCGCTGTTATGGCCTCAAATACAGCTTCTGTACTATGGTTATTTATACATAATTATTAACATAACCTTTCCTACACACCCATTTCAAGTGTTACGCACATAAGGTGTTCTTGAAACAAAAATGAATGGTATGATTGGTAAGCGAAAGGACTATAAACATCTCGGATAACACGTGGTCAAATAATATCTCACGACCATATCACATTGATAGAAAAGTATGGAGAGTTCATCACGAGCAATAGAGTAAAACATTTTAACGTCTTTGAAGTCGGCGAGATCGAGGCCCGCCCACCATCTAATAAACGCCCACCATCTGTAAACGACGTTCTAAACTTAGAAAGGGTTAACCAACAGGTTTCATATTCTGTGTTTGTGATCATATATGTGAGAGAGTAGTCTTAATTGATTTAAATAAGAATGAAGAGGCATTATTGCAGGATGTCTAGCACAATTAAAGCACTTTATCTCTCTAACAAGATCGAGGCCCGCCCACCATCTAATAGATCTGTAAAAGATGTGCTAAACTTAGAAAGGGTTAACCAACAGGTTTCATATTCTGTGTTTGTGATCATATATATTGTGAGAGAGTAGTCTTAATTGATTTAAATAAGAATGAGAAGGCATTATTGCAGGATGTCTAGCATAATTTAATCACTGTATCTCTCTAACGAGTGTTTTGCAATGTAGGGTGCATTTCTTCATGAGTTAAGTCTGCCAAGAAACCTTCTAGTTTTATGGTTTAGAGACATATTAGCGACGTCTGCTGAGTTTTCTTTAAAACCTGTGAATGACGTGACAAAATTAAATTGTACAATAAAGTGTCTAGTAATAAAAGTGCACAAATAGTATCGTTTTCATTGATGTTAGACTAGACATTTGTAAACATTTTATTCAGCTCAAAATTTTACAATGAACACTTATATAAAATAATAATAATAATAATAATAGTGTAAACTTATAGAGCGCACACACCGTCCAGGGACGCTCATCGCGCTAGCTCAGCAACAGTTCTCTTTGATACAAGTAAAGTAAATAATTTTGCAATATTTTTTGCGATATTTTGTTATAACCCATTTCAATCCTCAGCTCTGCCTGATGGGGCCCGGTGCCCTCCAGCTGCTCCGTTCACTGACAATTTAAGGGACTAGCCCAGTCAGCACATTATTCACAGAAGCTCTAGCATCTGAGGCCAACAGGCCCCACACAGGCAGCCAATGAGACTAAAGGGTGATAACTAATTAATTTCAAATGTATATACAAATAACATATCAATTATGGATTTAGTAAAATAAACTTATACAACTTAAGGAAAAACTGGGTTACAGATGGAATAGGTAAGTCTTAAGACGAGTTTTAAAGGCAGAGTATGTTGCAATACAGCGAAGTGATGAGGGAAGCTTATTCCATAATTTGGCTGCTGCATGCGAAAAAGCATGGTCTCCCCATGAATGACGGGTACGGGGAATTTGCAGCAAATTATCACTTCCAGATCTTAAGGTACGAGTTGGATTGTAGGAGTGTAGTGAGTCTTTAATGTATTGTGGCGAGATTCCATGGAGAGCCCGATAAACAAGTAACATAATTTTGAAGTGGACCCTTTTCTGGACAGGTAGCCAGTGAAGAGAGCGTAATATAGGCGTAATAGAATACATTCTTGGTGTGAAAGTAAGGAGTCTTGCACTGGAATTTTGAGTGGTATTAAAAGTTGATATAAGAACATATAATTATAGGAAACAGACGATCTACATTTAAAAAGGGAAAAAGAAAAAGAAAAAAAATGCTCGTATATATAGAATAAATATCAGCCTTGCTTTTAACAAAAGAGATATTGCATGTACTTATACATGTTTGTTCAATTCGGATGTTATGTCAGTGAATTGAAAACAATGAACTAACAAGATACCACGCCATGACTCTGTTGCCAATATATTTCCTAATATGATGTACATATATACTGATATTGACTGTCTTAAAAATATATATATATTGTTCCAACGTTTCGCTTATATTCGTTAATTCCACCCCCTGAGGTAACATTCTTTGATGAGCAGTAGATTCTTGTTCAAAATCTTCTTTCTCAATTACCCACTCTTCATATTTATTTAGTCTATAATCATATTGTGGAATGAGTAACACAAGGCATTTGTTTCACTTTGCAATGTATTTTGTGTGCTATGTTTAGTAAGGAAAAGAGAAATAACACAACCCACTTTCTGTATTCGCTTTAATTCAGAATAAAAATCTGAACCTTTCAATTCAAAGTTAAGTGACTCGACATATTGAATACTCTAGTTTTACTGTTGAACTTAAAGTAATCAGAATGAACATTAAAACAACAAAAATAATAATGATATGAATGGACCTAGACATTATTTGCCACAAACATGTAAACATTTATTTCAGGCAAATTTAAAGCTATTTTTTGGTTAGCCCCTGACGGTAATCAATATGAACATATGCTACTGGATAATGCAGTATTTCAGCGATGGATGTGGCACCCGTGAACAATTTATTGCACGTACTTGTTAATGAGAGTTCTCATCTGGGGCCCTAACAAACGCTGAGGTAGACACGCAGCATGCAGGCAGGGAGTGGGGGGGGGGGGGGGCATTGTAAATATATGTATGTATGTATATGAACAGGGCTATACCTGTAATATTTGAACAATATTGTGGAGGAACAATATCTGAGAAATGCACATGTACCGTAGAATATATACAATACATAAGTGTAATACATGTCAATCTATAATTGTTTATTGTGCAATATATAACAAATGTAATAAGTTATTTAAAGTGCTGTACAAAGAATGGTAAATTATATTGATTTAGACGTTTAGCAAAAGTTGTTTCCAACACAATAAATCAGTTAATCTTTTAATTCATTGCACAGACACTTAGAGACATGAACCTGTACCATGGAATTGGGAGTTCAATACCAACAGTATAGTGAAACTTTGAAAAGGACATGAACATGTATGAATTTAACTTTAATGCACTTATAAAATAAATGCAGATTCCATTTATAAATGCACAAAAAACCATTATAGGCCTTTAATTCATACAGACAAAAAGGAGAAGCTAGATGACATAGAAAAAATACTGCTCAATTTCAATATGATGTAATTTATCATTATTATACCATTATACAACAGCAGAGTTGTCATCATGACTTAGCAAATTCAAAAATCCCATTTTGACTGCATCGTTGAAGGCTAATATACATACTTCATTTTATTAAGTAAAGTTGATAATTAGGTTTGTTTTTAATGAATATGGCAAACAATTTAAAGTGTTAGTTTCCTGTAATTATCTCACTTTTCTTCAAATAAAATTTACAAGTTTTATTACAAATTCTATGATTTACTTTTAAAGCTTTATGTTTTGAAATAAAGTTTAGTCTAAAAGAGTACATTTACATTTAAGATTGGTGCCCCCCACCTTTTGGTAAGTCCAGGATCAGCCCCTGCTCTATTGTAACTATTTTTTTCATACAACCAGGGCTCAAATTAATTTTTTGTCCACGGGGGCTCTTCCCCCCAAAAAAAGAGCCCCCGTGAGCCTTCTCACGGGGGCTCTTTTAGTACTGACGGGGGCTCTTTTTTATACAAATATCCATTGAATTGGTACCTATGAAACTCCTCAATTATTTGCTATTTCATCATTATCATTTCAATCAGCATTTTCCCTCTTACAAATTTACAAGCTACATAGCTGTTACTGGCCTGTGTATATATACGCATACAACACTGATCTTTATGATGTCTTTAACGTGACATATCTTCTTCTCCCCTTGCAAACGAGAAAGAAAACAAGGTCATTAAAAGGGATTAAGCGATAAATAATGATTGTGATTCAAATTGATGCGAATATTTGTTTGAATAAGCACTGCTATTCACCCGAATCTTCTTTGTAAAAACAACTTTTACAAATCTCAGCCATGCTTACTGAGTTGAGACGTTCCATTCAATGTAAAATACTCATTAAAGAATACACTTCTCCTAATCTGAAAGTGATCTTACAACACAGTGGAAGATTTGCATGGCTGAGTTTTGTAAAAGTCTTTTTCACAAAGAAGATTCTGGTGAAAAGCATTGCTTATTAAAAAAAAATCCTTGCATCAATTTGAATCACAATGATTATTTGTCGCATGACCCTTTTATTAAATAACCTTGTTTTCTTTTTTGTTTGCAGGGGGAGAAGAAGCTATGTCACGTTAAGAAATCATAAAGATCGGTTGTATTATGCGTATATACTAAATACCAGAACAAAATGTTGATTATCAGAATGTCATTTTGGAATACCTCCATACAAATACCACATTGTCTTTAGCCCGTATTATTAGTATGATCCAATATAAAGCTATTATTCTTTATTTAATTCAGTATAATGCTTTTCCTCAAAAATAGTTTTGCTATTTTTTTAGGGTTGAGTTGTAAGAAATGGTTTCAAATGTACATTACACGAACCCTGAACCATTGCAAAATGATGGTGGTTCTCTCTCTCTCTCTCTCTTTATTTGAATCATGCATTATCAACTACATATAAAGCAGCAACCAAAAACTTAGGGTTATCTGAGATAGGTGAAAGTAAGAGTTAAAAAGAAAGTCATGCTAAAAAGGCGCTTCACTCCCCCCCCCTGAAAAAATAAAATAGATTAGTAGTCCTCCTCTCCAGCATCCCCCCGCTTTAATATCACATTTTCACTTGGCAGCCCAAGGGGGCCGGGGGTAGGAGGAGGGGGTTAAACCCCCTAACCCCCCCCGTAGATCTGCCCATGTTACCATATCATTCCACGACATCTTGGTCTTCGTCTTCTTCTCAACAGGGACTTTTAGATTTGCGTGGACGTGGACGTGGACGTGGACGTGTTACGTCCTTTTAAGGCACTGGCAGTCACATTTAAGCACTGGCACTGCCTTAAAAGGAGGTCACACGTTGCAGTCCACGTTCTCATCGTGCAAATCTAAAAGTCCCTAATATTGATTTACTGGTCAAATCACCAGATTTGAGCGGGTTAACGCTTTCACAACAAAAAATTTCTCCATGACCATTTCTGCCCTATATTGCGCGATCGCCTCCAGCTCCAGCAGACATGGCGCGGCAGCGTGCACACGTACCGTTACTAACGGCGCAGTAGGCCTATAACCACTGCTGACGGCGGCACTGCACTGCGAGCTGAGTCGGTAATAATAGGCCTACTCATTAACGAGAAATCTTGCACGCTAAATAAATCTAAGTTCCATTTCATTGGTTTAAGGTTTGAAAATTGAAACTTAATATTGTGTTAAAGTTATAACAGAAAAGATCCATGCACGGGGGCGATTTTTAATTTTGCAATCGCCCCCGTGAGCAACCTGACGGGGGCGATTATGTAGCTCACGGGGACGAATCGCCCACCGCCCCCATGTATTTTGAGTGCTGCATACAACTCATAATATATATTGACCTGTTTAGTTTTTTTTGTTTTGAAATAAATCAAAATTTATTTGTAAACTCTTAGGGGAGGGCTGTAGCCCCCACCCCTGGGTCTAGTTTCTACTCCTGTACAGTGGCGTACCTGGGGTACTCCGTCAGGGGGGGGGGGGGGCAAGCGACCGAAACAAACAAAAAAGGCGATGCTAATTTTCACTTCTGTCGAGCGAGCGAGCAAAAAAAAATCTTTAAGTAACGTTTGGTATATAAACTGGTATTGTTGCAAGTTGGGGGTGGGAACATTCACTTGTTAGCGACGTTAATTTCATTTTTTGCAAACGAGTGTAGCGAGCAAGAAAAAAAAAATCACTTCTTTTTTAATAATTGCCACTTAAACTTGGTGCAATTGTCCCATGCAGGGCGCG